GATATAACAGTCTAAAAACATATTTCCGGTAGAGATTCCTACAGGGTGCCCTCATGAAAGAGTTACAACATGTCATTGACTTTATGTCTGGTTTGGTCATCCCAAACAAACATGCATATAGGATGCCTCAAAAGGAGCTCGAGGAACTTCAACTCCAAGCCAAGCGGATAAGCTAAACCAAAAAGGCTTGGGGCAAAATAGTGTTATAACCCGTGTGCAGTTCCGACCCTTTGATTCTGAAGAAGGATAGATTTGAAGATTAAATGTTAGAAGATGTTTTAATCACCAAACATAACCTACCTGGAGATTAGAGCGGCTCCATCATGTTTCAATGTCCTCCAAGTTGGTTGTTCATTAGGAATCAGATTTTGAGTTTGCTCAATATGAGAGAAACTTGCGAATCCCCGGAGAATGACGCGAAAGCTAGAGCTTTATTTCGGTTTATATGTCTTGGTATATGTATTTCAGCTTGTTGTATCTGTGTTTTAGGATGATATACTTGTAATTAGGAGAGTTTAGCCTCAATAAATAGAAGTTGTGTTATGTGGGTTGAGAATAAAGAGCATATTGATTGGTTGTAAGAACCTTTCTCGTATCTTTCTGGGTTAAGAAGTATTTACAGTATCCTCGAGTGGCACCAAGGTGACGGACATCCATCGTTCATTTCAGTTTTTGCATACTTCCCTTTCTTGGGATTTTCATTTCAAAAATTTTTCTTAATTTCTGGATTTTCAATAAACTTGTTTTGCCTTGTTTCTGATACCATAAAGGGTTCTAGTTGTTAACGGAAATCACTTGCCTATAAATATACATTCCTTTAGAGACTATGGCAGGTTTTTTTTTCTATGAATAGTTTAATTTCGGGTTTTCCTAAATTGGAAGGATGATTGCCTGTTTTGAGGTGGATTCCCCAAGTTGGGAGAGGTAATAAGGCAAGGGAATCACAACAGATTCTAAGTTTTGCCACAATCGATCACAACAGTATATTTATCTTCTCCAAAATCTATGCTGGCCCTACAATTGTAATTTCAAGGAACTGTACAAAATTACTGCAGCAAGAAGTCCACAGGTAACAAACTAATACAAGAGGATCACCGGTCATAATTTCCAAAATTTTTGTCAAAATTGATTCTGAAAATTGAAAATCATCTCTAACGGCTGTCCAAGGATAGAAATTGTAGGTTTTTCCAGGCAACCTGTAGTTTTCCAATCAAGCTAAACCCCCTGCATACAGTCCACCCTTGTGAGTTCATTTCTTGCAGAAAATTCTAATCAAACTACAAATTTACTACTAAGCCCAATCTATGTTTTATAGTTCAGCGCTCTTTGGGTTCCTTACTTACAACGAAATTCAACCTATCATGGACCTCCTGCCTCCCAGCAAATCATGTAACCAATCAGAGAAGAAGGACAGTAGGTTTACTGAGGCAGATCTCCATTTTATGATTGAGAGAATTCTTCTAAAGGCAGCAACAAAACAGAGTTTCAACTAGGATAGGCTCTAGTATCCTGCAAGTTACTTAGTGGCTAAAATTACCAAGATTTGAGAATGAATAGCAACTGTCTTTGGCCCAAGTACTCATTTATTGGTATAAAATTCTCTTCACATTTGCATGAGAATCCATTGGGAAAAAAATTTCGAGAATGTTTAGCCTTAAAAATTCTTGTAATTTTTTTTTTCAGTCATTAGCAATTGTTTCATCAAGTTCTTGAAGTTTTTGTACCTATGCAATTTTAGGGGATTGCTGCCAATTTCTTGCAGCAAGAAATCCAAAAGGGCAGTTAAAAAATTCATTCCAGAATTAGGCCAAAAGTGATTCCAGCATTCAAAAATCATCTTCAGTGTCTATCCAATATGAGAGTTACAGTTTTCTCAGCCTACCTATAGTCTTCTATTCATACTAAATCCAATGTTTGCAGTCCAGCTTTATGAGTTCATTTCCTGCAACAGATTCCAAGCAACAACCAGTTTTACAGTCAATTCTAACCCATGTTTAACAATATAACCCTCTAAGGTTTCCTTCATTGCAACAAGATTCAACCAATTACCGTTCTTTTACCACCCAACAAATCATTTAACCAGATCAGAGAAGGACGGCAGGTTTATTAGAGAAAAGCTCTAATTTTCTATAGCAAGAATACTTCTAAATGCAACAACAAAACAAAATTTCAATAAAAACAGTCTCCACTTTTCCGCAAACCAAGGTGGCGGCTGAAATTACAAAAAATTGAGAATGAACAGAACTTCTCTGCCCCAAATACTCATTGTTTGGAGCAGAAAACTTCACACTTAACACAAGGATCCATTGGAAAGTAAGTCATGATTGTTTAGTTTCACAAAATAATGTAATTCATACGTTTTATTAGTTAGTCATTAGCAAGTAATTTTCATAAAATTCTTGTTGTTGTCTGATATTACAACGCCTAGTTGTACATTGTTTTACACCCCCTCAGTGTCAATTTGGTACTAAAACTTGGATCTTAAAACTTTCACCTTATTACAAACAAGACTTTGTTTAAGACATCAAAGACGAGTCTTCTTTAATATTTAAAGAATAACATAGATTAGAAACATAGTAGTGAAGTTGTACAATTGAAACACCCAAATATTGTGAGACATAATTAAGAAATGTCTAGGAAAACTTTTAGTTGATTAGGTATTTAGTTGATTATGTAAATTTGGAACTTATGGTCAAGAATTAATGTAAGATATGGCAGAATTCATGAAGCTTCCCACATAGGTTTCTAACAATGTTGTTTTGTTAGAGAATTAAGTTATCATAAGTCTTAAATGTAAGAAGCATGAATATTCACTAAAAAAAAGCTGAATAACTAAAAAAGAATAAGCTTAAGAAGAAATGAAGAATGCCATCAAGTTGATCATTTCATATTCAAGCTATTCATGCAATTCACTCTTATCTAATATAACACAATTCTCCATTATGTGTGTAGAGCTAAAGCCTTCACCTCAAATCTTCATACCGAGAATAAAAAGATTATAAAATGGATTGCCTATAAAACATTTACATCAAAGATGATTTTATTCCTCCCTAGCCCATTGCCACAAAAACAACCCTGATCTTATAAAAACAAGCCTGCTCTCCTCTTCATCGATGAAGAAATATCCATGCTTGCTAGGTCAATCGCACTCTCCATTATTGACAGATTTTCTATGGGAACTCCAAACATGGAGATAATTCACAAACTAATATCTAATTTACAGATGAAAGGTGGCTACTGTATCGGGCTAATCAGCCTTTGATATATTATCATAAGACTTTCTTTGAAGGCAAATTATAACAAAAGTTCCTCAAGAATCTCATATTATATCAATGGCTTCTCGATACACAAGCTAAAAAAGTCCACATTTTGATTGCTCTATGGAATCACTAGTTGTCCTTGTTTAGATCTCAGTTCCAAACTTCAAGTGCATCACTTCAACCAATCTACCTGATTATTTTTTTATTCTATTTTGAAATATCTTTATAAATGAGTGCTACGAAAACAAATCTTACTAGGCCTATTGTGGCCTAGGTATTAGTGAAATTGGATGTTACTACCCATTTTTATAAGATGTGGATTGATTCCTTACTGACTAGACATTGACTGATGAGAAATATGAAAATATCTCATCGCACTGCTCCTCATGCCATATGTTTGGGCATAAATTCACAAAAGCTAAAATGGTCACCTCATTTTGATTGCCCTATAGAAACATATGTTGCTCCTGTATAGATCTCAATTTCAAAACTTTATATGCAGCACTTCAACCAATCAACCTTATTCTTTTATTTTATAATTATTTTGTGGAATGATGCTATGAAAATAAATCTTTCTAGGCGTATTGTGGCCAGATTATCGGTGGAATTCCCCATTTTGATAAAGATTTGGATTGGGTCCCCATCGATTGGGTACTGACTGAAGAAAGAAAAGGAAAATATCCAATCAAACTGCTGCTCCTGCTACATGTTTGAACATAAATTCTCAAACTGTTGGGCTCATTTTGATCTGAGAAATTCTACAACAGGTGCATCACCTTCCATTTGAAACTGCTAATCAATCTCTTAGCCACTTGGCGAATGATCTTCCCTCATCATTCAGATCAATTCTCAAAACTTATAGCCAAATTCAGACTCTGTTATAGGGATCCTACTTGCCTCTTAGTGCTAGCCACTTCATTATTAATTGACACCATCACTATAGCAGTTTTCATGTTCATGGAACACCTCATTTCCATCCTACACAATGAAAGTAATATATCCTAAAAGTTATTTAATTTAGATTGGAGCATTCAGAGCCCCGATTCTATGGTAGATAATAGAATTCATATTCTTCTGTATTAACATCTATAATACCTAAACTTCAATATAAAAAATCCATATACTCGCCTATATGCACTTAAGCTTTGAGTTGGACGATCCAAATCAATAATTTTGCGATTTGCATAATACAAAGAATGATTCTTTATAAGTCTTTCTGTAATAAGGTACTTTTTCTTTTTTGACGATCCTGGAAATATATATATATCCAGGATCGTCAAAAAAGAAAAAGTACCTTATTCTAAAAGAAAAATAATATTCTTCCCAAGCACCTCAAAATAATTTCCCTTTTAATATGACACAACATAATAAATCAAGCTCCTCATAATGTTTTAACTTCATTTTGCATGCATCCTAAGTAAGAAGAAACCATAAAAGAGAAAAAGCTTCGGCAGAATACAATGAGTCACATATCGCACAACTGCAGCAAAAAACCAATAAATGGGTTAATCAATATATATTTAAAAGAAAAATAATATTCTTCCCAAGCACCTCAAAATAATTTCCCTTTTAATATGACACAACATAATAAATCAAGCTCCTCATAATGTTTTAATTTCATTTTGCATGCATCCTAAGTAAGAAGAAACCATAAAAGAGAAAAAGCTTCGGCAGAATACAATGAGTCACATATCGCACAACTGCAGCAAAAAACCAATAAATGGGTTAATGAAAGAAAACCTTGATGATTTGATCTTTCGACGAAGTAAGAACCCAGTTTCCATTCTGATTCCACTTGACGCACAACACAGTATTTTTATGGCCATGACTGCAAAACAGAAATGAATTAACAATCAGAATTCACGCAAAGTAAACCAAACAATGATGAAAGTTACTTACAATGAACAGAGCTCCTTCCCTGTTTTGGCATCCCACAGCTTTACAAGATTGTCTTTTCCACCTGTTTCATCAATTTTACATGCAAAATAACAAAAAAAAGGCATATAAGTGCGGTTAAAACCGGAATATCATAATAAAGAAAATAGGAAGATTCACATACATATCACTCGATTCTTTCGTATTTACATCTCTAACACCTAAAATTCAACTTTTAAATGCATACCACTTCCCCACGCATAAAAAGGCATATTTCACTTTTCAGGAGTTAAAATGGAGATATTTTTATGTGATATAAAAGATTTGGGTGGTATAAATGTAATAATTAAAGTTTCAGCGTTAGAAATGTAAATACATAAGAATTTGATGGTATGTATGTAAATGCTCCAAGAAAATATCTTGATTAAGGATAAGAACCTGATACGAGTAATGACTTTGTTGGGTGCCAGTCAACACTCTTGACATCCCAACCATGGCCTGTCTGAGTTCAACACACACAGGAAACTTAGAATATATCAACAAAACTGCAATCCAATAAACAAACAATTTGCTGCTAAAACAAAAAAAAAAAATCGAGGATGACAAAGAAAATGGCTCAAGGAAAAACCACGAAGCAGTTAGAGAATGAATAGCAGACAAAACACTATTTAAAGTTGCCTTAAATATTGAAATGGATGCCATTAAAATAAAAAATAAATCAATAAATAATTTCTTTTATAAACAAAAGGGATAACATAATACCAAATACAGGGAAAAAAATCTATAAAGGATCATTTAAGAACTCTTGAACAAAAGAATTTCCTAACGAAAACAGCTCATTTCACCTTTCGTGATTAGTCAGTAAACAGTAGATTCAGCCATTCACAAGGTACCGAAATGAACTCTAGCTTTGCCAACAAATATATTAGATCGGTTGTGTGACATTCTTCGCTTTCAGGAAAGAATTCATAACATAATAAAAAAATATGAGAGCCAATTGATGCAATGTTGAAGTAGAAAACTAAAGAAGTAAAATAAAATAAAAAAAATACTAGTATCAGTTATAACATTATATATATGAAAGAAGCAGCCAGATTACATGCAATAACCCCACATTGAAAAGGATCCCCAAAAACCACCCTTTCCTTACTCTTGTATAGACCTGATTATTAGCGTCGAAACCAAAACAGGACTGAGCAAAGATTTCCTTTGCCATATGAGCCTGCATAGAGCCTCAACATGATATGAGGCCCAGTCATTTCTCCCTGTTAGGCTTAGGATTGATAAAAAAAATATCTCAACTAAACAAAGCCCAAAAAATTGGATTCTATTTAGGTTATTGTAAATGTGACTAGTGCGTAACGAAGAAATGCACTTAAAACACAATAATGTTTAAACAGGCAAGTGTTTTCAGAGTTTTATCTAAGTGTTTCAAATTGGTTTTGTGGGTTGGAATTGGGTCTAAATAAATCTGACTTAAAATTGCTTGATTCAAACTGGGCCCGAATATTATATGGATCAAAAAACCTACCCGGCTTCAATCAAACTGACCCAAACCAGACAAGCATAACCAGTTTCATATAAAGAATTACAGCAATATGGTCAAGTTCATATCAATTACGAGTTGAAAGATTAATTTCGGGTAGGCAGATCAATTTCGGGTTGGTAGTTTAAATTAAACTCAATCTAGAAAATTACATGGGCTAGGATTCTAGACTAGAAACTAACTGAAAAATTAATCGGGTCAACCCACATTAAGATTTTTTTAGTCAGTTTTGGGTCGAGTTGACG